TTTTTTTTTTTTTTTTTAATTTTGAGAGAGAATGAGCAGAGCAGGGCAGGGCCAGAAAGAGGTAGAGAGAGATTCCCAAACAGGCTCCAATGTGGGCTCGATCTAATGAACCGGAGCCAAAACCAAGAGTCAGATGCTTAACCAAATGAGACACCAAGGAGCCCCTAAGTAGGCATTTTCCGAAGACAACTTATTTAAGAAAACATAAAGCAGTAGGCTGTTTTCTCCCCAAACCAACCCACCCAGTATTTTTCAAATGTAAAGTAACAATAATTATGGCCTCAACAAATATCACATTTTCCAGGATGTTTAAGATGGAACAAGGGGATTATAAATTAATTAGTTTTTTTTTTTAATCTCATGATACCTTTAAGACCATGTTTCAGACAATGTTCCATAACAACAAAGAACTGCTGCAAGGGGGGATAGTCAGAATCCAAAGTGCGGCCAAAGCTCAGAGCAGATTCAATGAGTCCTTTGATACTCAACTTAGCCATGTTTAACAAGTTTGCTCTCTCTACGGCTGTGGGGTCTTTTGTAGCTGAAAGCACAAGAAAGGAGTCCATCATCATTTGCAAGACATGACATTGAAAAATATATAAACCCTTTCATTCTGCTGTAAAATGAACAATGCTGTTTTTCTCTGGTTGACAAATTAGTCTCCCTAACTAACCCACACTTTTTTTTTTTTGTCTCTCACACACACCATAGAACATTACCATGCCTATCCAAGACACAGTTTATGGATTATTCTCAAGACCATGCAAATTTGTTATTTTCTGGTATTTATTTTACTTTTTGTGGTACCTCTTCAGGGAGAATGAATTTTGATTTTTTTTTTAATGACTTCTGGAGCTAAGATTGGAGTAATAACATATTTAAGAGTCTCATGCAAAAGGTGGACAGTAGTCCAAGGATGAATCTCAAGGCAAAAAAATGTTCAGAACTGGCAACAAAAGGCAATTACAATTTTAAAATTACAGTATCATGTATAAATATGACAGGTAAATAAAAACAACTGGACAAATAAGGGGATACAGGCAAAGCCATTCAATTCTTTCATTTTAGCCCTCTTTCCATCTTGTTTTTTCATTGCTACTGTAGTTCTGTATTTCATGACTCCTTTATTTTCCCAGAGGAAATAAAAGCAGAGTCCTTATTTCACATTTAAGTTTCCTGCCCTTCCACACAGCTGATTCAGTCAAAAACTAAGTTAACAGATACATTTAAAAAAAAACAAACTGATTTTTAATTGATATTTTCATACCACAAAACTCTTTTTCTTCCCCACAAATTTTATTCTTAATTTAGAAATTCAGATGTTTCCCCCTATTCTCACCACTGTTGTGACAGGCAGGAATATTTACAGCCAACAGAGATGACAAAATGAAGTGCAGAAAAATGAAAGCACTTAGTATAACCTTTCATATAATCTCTGGCAAATCTACTAGTCCAAGTGAACCAAGTGTCCGTTCCTCCTCTACTGAACAAAAGTCCAGGGTTTCCAATGATCCAGTATTCAAGTTCTGAGCTAAGGGTGAAACCTGAGTCAGAATTCTAAGCAACTAAAAATGCAAACACCCACAACAGCTATGACCAAGCTAACTGGTGGAAAATCTGCACACACATCATTCCTTCAAATCTGCATCATGGTATGATTCCCTCATTTTTTTAACCACTTGATGTTTCATAATCTGTACCAATTCTCATTTTTCTTAGTGTGGATCACGATCCGTAACTTGTGAAGGGACTAGCAGACAAAAGGCGCCTTTACAGCTGCTCCGAGGCAGGTCCACGCTCCGCGCCCGCAGCTTCCTCGCCCGGGAGCGTTTACACGCCGACCGCGCCCCGCCCGGGCTCGAAGATGTGTCCGGCTCTTCCCAGCCCCAACAAGGCCAAGGGCCAGTCCCCTCATCTCGCCCGGGCCCAGAGTCCCCTCCCTGCCTCCCTGCAGTAAGGCTGCCCAAAGGGCTCGGGGCGCCCCAGGTTCCCCACGGAGGGCTCACCGGGGGTCCTGCGCGGCATCGCTGCACCTCTCCCGCCCTTGGCGTCGGGCACCCAAGCCAAAACCTGAGACGCGTCTTCCCTCCGCCACCCCCAAACCTGAAAAGTCATCGCCCGTCCGCGGCTGTTCCACCGACCCGGGAGCGGCCCCCTGGCCGACCCTGGCTTCGCCCCTTGGAAGTCGTCAGACAAGGAGCCCTCGGCCATTAGGCCCTAGAACCCGGGCGGGGTCGGAAGGGAACAAGGGGCGGCCGCGCGTTGCCATGGCGATCCCCGGCGCCCCCGAGTCCCCGGCTGCCCCCGCCCAGGTCCAGGCCCGGACTCGGGCCCCAGTGGCGACCCGAGGCCTCGGTGCCTATCACCACGGGTCCTCCTCGCCCGGCCGCGTCCTAGGACGGAGAGCCCAGGGTCCGCTCTCGGTCCGCTCCCCTTACCCATGGCGGCGACGGCGGCGCGGTCTCGGGCGGGGACGCCCTGGGCCCCGCCAGCAGATTCCTTCAGGCGCGCGGCGGCCGCCACGGCGTCTGCCACCAGGCCTGCCGCGGC